TTTAACAGGTTGAGAAACCCGATGATGGACCCATGAAGACTTAATCAGGAAAACAAAATGGAAAAAGTACATTTTGTTTCAACCGGTCTCCAAAATTCACGTATCGAGCACCTAAGCACATTTGACCGCCATCTTGTAAATATGACAATTGATCGCTTTCAAGCTTTCAGAGACTATTTTGGCTCTAATAGAAATAAATACCTTGACACCAAACATGTAAGACTACAAAAATTTACGTTATTGTTAAACCCCCTAATAGTCAATTATGATATAAAAATTGGCGTACTTGAAGTACGATATGTAGATAAGATGCTTTATGGTCGTTTTTGAGTTATAATTTCATTGTTTTTGAAATTGTCTTGTACAAAAATATGACGTATATTACAGTTTTTCAACACCAAAGTACAAATGGACCAAAAAGGGATGAAATAAGGAATAAATAAGCATATGTAGCACTTAGTCTTGATATCTGGTGCATTGTTCCACTAAACGCACAGCCACTGCACACAAATGTAGTTCCATGACTGGGCGTCAGCGGTTCTCTGCATAATGAGATGGGTGGGAGGACTCAGCTTTCGTTCTAGACGGTGCTTTGTTTCAGGAGATTTAGATATTGGAAATTCGGTATTCGATTATTTATTCTTAAAACTGATTTTTAATAATGAATGTTCCTAATCATAACAATAACTTTTTAATGATTAGATTATGTGAATTATCCATTGTGATAGATTTTTGTAAATAGCGTTTAGTATTAGTATTATTACGACAGATGGAAACACTCGAAGGAAGTTGCGGAAACTTAGATGAAAAACAAAAAACAATCGTAGGCATTTCTGCAATAAAGGAACAGGAGCAGAAATATCATCATATTCAGTAATGATTTTGTCACACAGCAAATATCACTGATTTTATACACATGCAGACCAATACACATAATCATCCAGAAGCGATCTTGCTATTCAACCAACTTTCTTCTCAGAGATAAAAACTACAGACACGGATCATTCAGCGTCACAAAACTATGCAACCAATAATGCATAGTTTAGTTGAGTCCATCTACGGAGAACCCCATAGATGGACGTTCACAACGATCCTAGTGAGCAAACGTGGAACGACTGTTTGCGCCCTAAAGACTACCTAATCTGCAAGTTGACATCTAATAGGTTTTTTTGACGTTTTGTAGGTTTTTTACATGATACCCGGCACGCTCAAAGTGCTTTTAGATTTAGAACATTCTGAACAAACCATTGAGCGAGTGCTCGATTAATAATTAAAAAACAAAGGCTTACAGCAAAGATACGTCCTGAAATTTTTTGGGGTTTTGTTAATCGATGTTTGAAACATTTTCAACAGCATTGGCAATTACAAATTTTATTCATCCCTTCATATTGTTTTTCTGGGTAGAAAATTACATATTTCGCTATTTTCCAAATATTGCAATGCTCGACAACTATCAGCTTCAGAGAAAAGTTCTAGAGTACCTTTTATGTTGAAAAAATCTTAACACACTTTGACCGCAGCATAAAAGTAAACCTTTGAATTTGTTAAAAACGTTGAATTAAAATTTTTGATGCACATTTGGTCCTGGTTAGGTACTAATAGTGATCGAATTTATCATAAACTTTTATAATTTTAACTAGGTTTGATACAATATTGCATGAAAACGGAAGCTACAACTTAACGATATACAGAGCAACGGCACAAACAGTCGTCATTCTACCACTTTATTTTTATAAGTCAATTCACATTTTTGCCGAAGGTCGGCTTTGCTTCAAATACTACTGGTGTTTGATTTTCGTCCTTCCATATTTGAAATCTCGATACCAGCGTTTGACTAAACGTGGTGTCCCAATATCAGGTGGACATAAGAGAAACACGTATTTTTAAACTCAAAATAAGTCGATTGGACATCATTTACCTCTATGCAAAAATTGCATTGTTTGTCCGTTAGAGGGCGTTTTCTTTTTGATACACATTTTTTCAGATACTTTTGGAACCGGCAGTGTCCCAAGACTGTCCGTTAGGGTCATCGATCAGTCGAACAGCTCTCCTCTGACCGGTGTCGACATGTATAATGTAGTCGGGGCGACAGCACTCCAAATTTGTGAGCAGTACTCGAGGCTAGGTCTTATCTGGGCCTTGTGGTGTTCGTGCCTGGTCAAAACCTCCATGACCTGAAATCCGACCAGCCAAAATGATTGGCTCTTTATTAGAACTCGGCCATCCATCGAAACCGGGTGAGCGCTAGGACGCTTCTTGTTCGTCAAGGTACAGTACTGTTTTGGAAGCATTAAACTGTTCCCCGCAGTGAAAACTCAGGGTTTCTCGTCAGAGAGGAGGTCGCTGCTAGTCTAGTTTTCTACAGCTCACCAACAGAGGTCGCCTTGACATTGGGAATTCCTGCATTTAGAGTGCTGTCATTAGCAAAGCTGTGGATTGCATTGACCGTACAGGAAAGGAAGTCGTTAATATGTATCAGGAATAATGTCAGTGCTAAGACCGATCCCTGGGGACACCCGCGTTGACGTTGTGATTTTGAGAATCTAAGAGCTAATGCCTTTCTGACGTTGCAGTTGACGTTGGCTGCGGTCTTAAGTTTTGCAGTGA